TACTATGCTGTCTACACTGGCCCTTTTCCAGAACAGTTTTCCAGAAAAAGACTTTTGCCCGAACGGGAGCAGCATAGTTTTTCCGGAAAAGCACTGATGATTTTACATTAGATCGTCAGTGCTTTTCTGGAAATTCAAGCGGCCAGTGTAGACAGCTGGCAAGTTTTTCTGGAAAAGCGGCTGATTTTCCGGAATAACTTGCCAGTGTAGACACAGCCTGTAGGGCTGTAAAATCCGGTTTAATTAGTTAATTGGTTAAACATGACTTTTAACCAGTTTATCTTATTAAATAGGGCTGGGTGGGGGTGGCCTTCTCCTACTCCCACCTGCGTTGGCCAGGCTGGAGTGGTCTACCCACTGCGGCCCTATGTGGGGCTGCCACTTCTGGGAGCTACCTGTGTGGGCTGGGAGCTGGCAGCCCCAAGCGGGGGCCCAGCGGGACTGGAGCAGCCCTTTGCCCATTGTGGGGGGCTGCTCCCCGGGTACCAGTTAACTGTTCACACCCCTAGCACATCGTCCCTTGGCACTGTGCTGGGTCATGGAGCTGCGCATTATTCCGGGGGCTGGAGGGTGGGGATATCACAGGCTGCCCCATTTTCTGCAGCACTTGGTGCTTTCCACAGATGCCAACCAGGCCTAAGTGCTTAGCGTGGTAGCTCTGAGGGTCCCAGCCCGCGGTGGTTCTTGGCTGTGGAAAGAGCGAAGAGATAGCCTTGCCCTTTGGAGATTATGCCTCCTTATCGAATCCTTTCTGAGCGGGTCTCAGCTGGGGTGGCAGGGAGATAAGATGGCAGTGAGCTGCCGAGGTACTTGGTATGATTTGAGTAGTGGAGGAGCTGTGGGAATGAGCTCACATGGCAGAGGAGAAAGCTTCCCTGATGGAGAGGTGGGATATGATGGAGGCTGCTGCCGTTTGCTCCCCGGGGTCCTGCGGGATTCCGAATGGCAGGTGTTTGGCCCGCGTGGGGCTCTCACTTCTGACAATGCTCCACAGTAAAGGAGTGCCCAGGATGTTTCTCATACCAGCTGGGCATTCCCCCCCCCCATCATTGTAATCTCAGCTCTGCAGCCTGAATGTCTCCTCCCCCGCCCTCCTGTGTCTTTGAAATGATCCTCAGTGGCGCAGGCTAGAAACCAGAACCCAGGTCAAATCCTGGCTCGAGTCCGACCAGAGGCCGTGGATCAGAGAGCTGGCTGGGCAAATACAGAAGTGACAAGAAGCTTTTTCCCTGGTGGCCCATGGCATGGGGTCATGAAAGGGATGGGCTAATAGCACAGGCAACTCCCCCCCCCCCACCCCGCCCCTTCCCGGCGACGT